AAACTGTTGCAGCACTGGTGAACCAGGCATGAAAACTACCTGCAAGTTGTTATAGGAAGTAGCTGCCCACATCATGTCATTAGTGGAAATAGTCACCCTCCAGAAATAAGCTTGAAGCCATCATCTTTCTTTTGTATGGGTCCAAATGTGTACTGCTTTCTCCATGTGGAAACCCTGAACTGAGAAAATAACTCAGAAACTAGTCCAGAATCATTGAACTCTTTAGGGCTCTGGCAGAGGCAACTGTGAAAGCAATCCTATTAGATTGGTTTTTGTTTTCATTTTTGCCTTTTTTTTTTTTTTCAACAAAACATCATGGACCTCTTATGAAGACAAGCTTATGAGCAAAAACTGCTAAGCACTTAAGTATACATACCACCTTGAAGTCAACCAATAGAAGCAACAAAATAAACTGAAAAACCAAATAAAATAGACAGATCTTAAAGGGACTTTAAGAATGTCTAAACTATTGAAAGATAAAAAAGAATTCCTCAAGAGAGGAAAAATAAATAAAAAAGGAGACTATGAAATAGAACCAAATAGAAATGCTAGAAAAGAAAAAAAGATTCATTGAAATGAAAAACAAAAAGAAAAACACCTCAACAAAGTAGGCAGTAAACTAAACATAGCTAAAGAGAGATTTAGTGAATTAGAAGATAGATCTAGGGACTCACCTGGAATGCAATGTACAAAGTTAATAAGGTATAAAATATGAAAAAGAACATAAATCACAAAAAGGATAGAAGGAGAGGCTTTGATGTAATTGGATCCTCAAAGGAGAGAATAGAGGGTTCATTGAAGATCAGTATGTGGTCTCATAAAACATTCTTTGGTATTTTTGTCAGATTTAAGACTGTATTAGATAAGCCTTGGGAAATTTCTCTATTATTTATTTTATGTTTTAATTTTGACTGGTAGCATCCATACTAATTTATATACATTATGTACATTAGTGTATTGCACTATGGCCAGACAAGACAAGCCTAGAATGCCTGACACAGTCTTCTTCCTCCATGAAGTTTTGCTGTGTTTACTGTTCTCTGTTACAGCTGCTGATGTAGAGGAAAACAGCAAGTAGCCAAGTGAGGTACTAATAGGAACAGTGCTTCTGGGGGAACCAGCCAGCTGACCATTTTCTAAGGGTAGTAGTACTCTGGAAGCTACTCTGGCCAGTTGCCTGCTGCCTGTACTGCCACATTTCTTAGACTGTGAAGCTAGAGGCTCAGCTTCCATGTGCTCTGGGCAAAGGCAGAAAGGAAGCATGAGGGCCAGCCTGTACATGTACCCTTTTACCTTCTCCTTTCCACTCTCTCTCCATTCTGGGGACTGCAATCCCAGGGGCTCAAACATCAGCTTCTCTTCCTGCAACCTTAAGGAACTTCATTTATTCTGTGACACAGAGAGAAAAGGAGACTTCAGTGGGTTTTTTTTAACTCTCTGATGGAGAAAACTGGTACAGCAGTGTTCTTTAAGATGGGCGAAAATATGGCTTATTAATAAAGAACATGTACCTTAGGAATAAAAAGACTGACCTCCGTTCAGATCCTGTCCTGCTAATTATTGGATATCTTTTGAAAAGTTACTTCATCTTTCCGTGTTTTAGTTTCCCCGTTTGTAAAATCAGATAAAAAATACCTTCTGTAGAATGTTATATTGAAAGCATTTACTTGGCAGTTAAAAAAAAAATTAGTTCTTGACCTCCTGTTATATCACTATGTAGGTACAGAATTCAGGCATTCTGTCTTGATTTCAAACACTATAGTCTACCTTGTCATCAAACCATAGGGCCAAATTTGGGGTTCATAAGAATACAGTGACCATGGATATGGGGTTCTGAAGAAAGCAAGGGGAAGGGGAGGGAAGATGTGCTCTCTTCTGCCTGCACACCCAGAGCATATTGTTTAGTTTCTGCTTTGCCTAGGGAGGCCCAGGGCAGGGAGGTGCACAGGGCCCATTGTGGAATTGGGCCCTGGCCTTCCTAAACACTTCAGTTCATACTGGCCCATTTCCCACGTACCTGCGAACTGTGGGCAGAAAAGGCTTAACCATGGCAGCCCCTTGAACTCAAGTGGCATGAGAAGATGCAGAAGCAACCAGCTCAGTCTCCTCTGACCTTGGCAGCTGGGAGACCATGCTCTGAAGTTTGGGAGTAAATCAACCCACAGTCCTGGTTTCTGCCTAAGAGCAGGATATTGTGTTGTCTACACACACACACACACACACACACACACACACACACACAAGTCTCTCTTTCTTTTTGTCTTGCCCCTGTTTTTTTTCCCTCCCCTTTTCTCTTCGTGCCTGACTCTCTTTTGTTCCTTCCCCTTGCTCATCCAAGAATCTCTCTTTTCTCGTGTTCCAGCCTGCCTTCTGTCCTTGTAGGCATTATTTCATCCCTGGGTGGCTCTCGGGCAGAAGGTGAACCAGTGTGTTGACCTGTGCTCTGTCACACAGCTACCAATTAAAAAACCAGCTCCAGACTTCCGCTAGATGGGATAAAGCAGCTACACCAGGCTAAATGCAGACACAGTTCCCTAGTAACCATGGAGAAACATGCATCCTAAAATTCCTGACCTTCCACCCAAGACTCCATAATCTTGGCTCTGCCATGTCTTGATCTCATGATTCAGGAATGATGTTGATATTTCCATGGGGTGTATCTTTCAGCTATAGAAGAGCAGCGGCAGCCGCTCTGCAAAATGAATGTGCTTCTTATTTCTGTCCTGTGAGGATGTGGTAGGAGTGGAGACCATCCAGGAGCGTTTCTAATTCTAAGACTGGGAGAAGGGACAGAGCAACCTTGAAGGGTGAGGCTATGGCTTACTTCATCATTAGACTTCAGTGAATATTCCTGCTTTCATACCAGCTTGCTCATCTGTTGCCCTGCTAACCCTACACATACATGCATGAGCATGCCTACCTTTGCCATTGCAGAGCTGGAGAAATGCAGAGTTGGTTGCGCTCCCGACAGGAGATGCAACAATCACATGACCTTGACTCCCTTGGGTTTAGAGACAGGTTTAGCGAGTCTAAACCTAGGGAATCAATTAGTAAGAATTTACTTATTTTAATTAGTTTCTTTTTTGTTTTTTTTCCTTTTGAAAATAACATATAAATAATTTGTGGGTTGATGTGGGTAGGAGAGGTACAGGGAGAGAAGAAAATAGGGGGAAAAAAAAGTATCACTGTCACCCTCGGGAGTCAAACAACCATTGTGGACATTTTCATGTGTTTCCTTCCAAAGTTTTTTCATGCCTATTTTTAGAATTTAAAAAATTGTTATCATTTAATTTTATAATCTGCCTTTTCCTTTCAACATTATAGCACATATTTCCCCATTATTACAAGTGCTTTTTAATGGCTTTGAGATATTTCTTTAATGGATATAACACCATTTATTTAACTGTTACCAGTTTTTGAAAATGTAGGTTGATTCAACTTCCTGCTATTATAAATACTGCAGTGATGACCGTCTCAGATGAACAAGAGTGCCTTGAGACTCTAGTAGGTGTCAGTCCTTGGCTGGGTCCTATATACAGGGTCCCTGGTGTCAAGGAATTTACAGTCTAGTTTGGGAGCAAAAAATAGAGTTCTAGGTTAATCCTGAGCTCCTTCCTTTCATCTTTTCAGATTGGCAAAGTGAAAGTATGTATTATACTGCTGAATTTAAAAAGAAAAGAAAAAAAAAAAACAGAACCAAGAGGGATGTATATATTGATCATTATTGATATATAACACATAGCTAGATTGGCCTGGACAGAAAATGCATTGTTAATGATAGCAAATATTATGAGGAGATGAAATTCGAAGAGAAGTTGGTCTAATTTTAGCTTGGCCTGGGAAGTATCTAATAACTGACAATAATCTATACATTTTCCCCTGTTTGATTTATTTATTTATTTTAAAAATGTATTTATTTTTAAATTTATTTATTTTTGGCTGCGTTGGGTCTTCGTTGCTGCATGCGGGCTTTCTCTAGTCGCGGTGAGTGGGGGCTACTTTTTATTGCCGTGCATGGGCTTCTCACTGCAGTGGCTTCTCTTGTTCCGGAGCACAGGCTTTAGGTGTGCAGGCTCAGTAGTTGTGGCTCACAGGCTCTAGAGCGCAGGCTCAGTAGTTGTGGTGCACGGGCTTAGTTGCTCCGCGGCATGTGGGATCTTCCCGGACCAAGGCTCGAACCCATGTCCCCTGCATTGGCAGGCAGATTCCTAACCACTGCGCCACCAGGGAAGCCCCGCCCCCACCGCATTTGATTTAAATGCTCTGATTAGAGTTGAATGTTTTTCGTATATCCCAAAGTATGTAAATTTCATTTACGAATATGTTCTTTAAATTGTAGCTAACATTGGTGTCTGACTATCTGAATTACAGTTATGATTTTTATGGGCCTGCTGAGATTTATTTATTTATTTATTTTTTGCCGTACGCGGGCCTCTCACTGTTGTGGTCTCTCCTGCTGCAGAGCACAGGCTCCGGACGCGCAGGCTCAGCGGCCATGGCTCATGGGCCCAGCAGCTCCGCGGCATGTGGGATCTTCCCGGACCGGGTCACGAACCCGTGTCCCCTGCATTGGCAGGCGGACTCCCAACCACTGCGCCACCAGGGAAGCCCCTGAGATTTACTTTTCCCCTTGTTTTCATTTTTAAAATCGATTTGAATCTCATGGAAAAAATATTCCCAAAAAGGGCTATGAAATTTATAAAATCACAGCAGACTGAAAACCAATGTCCTGATGGTGTATTTGTGTGTGTGTGATGGGGTATTACTGCAGGGCAGGAGTGGAGTGTACACAGAGAGTGAAATAGGAAACAGCCTATTTGAAAGATGTTTTCAGACACCAGGATTGTGGGATATTAGAATGAAGTGTGTGTACCCTTCCAAACCTAAGCCTTGCAAGTGTTGGTGTGATAGGAACTTTGCTCGAGTCTTGGCAGAATGATCCAAGGACACCCTGTCTGCTGTGAACAGGGACGCATCTCAACCTCGCTTTCTTCTTTCAGATTGATGACTCCAACAGCAGCCTTGAGGAGGTGATGGATGAGGCTGATGCCATCAGCTCTGTGAACAATCTGGGAAGCAAGCAAGCCTTGCATGCAGATTACCTGGGTTCTGATTACCAGACAGGACAGCTGTACCCCTTCTCCCTCAGCAGTGACCCCGACACGGCCACGTTCACTCTCACAAATGCAGCTCCAATGACCCTATCCTTCCAGAAACGGTGGTACGTGAATCTCAACAGCCTAATGGACCGGGCCCTGAGCCCACAGTGTGGCGATGGGGAAGAGCTCTACATCATCGCAGGTGCCGTGCCCTCAGACCTCAAGGTCAAAGACAAAGTGACCATCCCGGAGTTTGTTTGGCTGGCAGCCTGTTGTGCTGTCCCTGGAGGAGGCTGGGCCATGGGCTTTGTCAAGCACACCCGGGACCGGGAGGTCATAGAAGATGTGATGGTGAAAGAACTTGAGAAACTGCTTCCATTCACGCCTCAGCTGTTCCAGAACAACTGTGGGGAAAGTGAACAAGACACAGAGAAGATGAAAAAAATCCTGGAAATGGTCAACCAAGTCCAGGATGAGGAGCGAAGGGTAGACTCTGAAGGGGACTCTGGGACCCTCTCCAGCACGAGGAGTACCAGGTCCACTCTGCTGCCTCCAGAGGCATCTGGGGAAAGGAGTAGCCTTTTGAGAAAACTCTTGGGCTTCACTGCTACCCCATTCATCAAGCTTTGCCAACTAATTTATTTCCTTGCAGTCAGAATCCTGAAGTACCTTGTGTATTTCCTGTGGTATGTCACCAAACAGGTGACTCGTGGTCTAGAAAGTTGTCTTTACCGCCTGGGGTCAGCCACCATCTCCTACTTCTTGACCATTGGGGAGGAGTTGGCCAGCATTCCCTGGAAGGTACTCAAAGTCATGGTCAGGATCACCAGGGCCATTCTCCGGATCCTTTGTTGCCTGCTGAAGGTTGTTTGCCGTATCGTGGGCATCCCTGTCCGAGTCCTTGTGGATGTGGCCACTTTTCCTGTGTACACCATAGGCGCAGTTCCAATTGTGTGCAGGGACATTGCAATGGGCCTTGGTGGCATCATCTCTCTGTTCTTTGACACTGCTTTTGGCACCATGGGTGGCCTATTTCAGGTCATTTTTACTGTCGGCAAGCAGATTGGCTACAAGATTACTTTTGACAATCCTGGGGATTTATAGAAAAAAAAAACAACTGAGTGCCCAGTCACAGTGAATTTGATTTTTTTTTTTAATAGAGAAAGCTGGAATATTTTGCCTATATAATGGGTTTCTGTTCACTGTCAATTATTCTAATATTTTGGGCTTTGGTGGGGGGTGTCTGCCTGTTTTTGCAAAGGAAGATGATACAATTTTGACTTCACCCAAGAGAAGTGTTCAAGGTGAGATTATGTGTAGGTTGCCTGCTGTGATGTGGGTGAACTTCTAAGCCATCATCTTCAGTTATTCACTCTGATACAGGTGACCATGTAAGAGACTCAGGTGTTCATGTGTGATAATTAAAAATTACAGGAAAGGAGGACAACTTTAAACCAAAGGCTTTCCAAGAAAAGTAGAAAGGAGGCTTGTTCCTCCTATTACTCTCTGAGACTTAAGGCAAAACTGATATAAATATTCCTGGCCAATTTGTTATCATTTTGCTTCTTTTTCTCCCCAACTCAGCTGACTTGGTGAGGTAAAGACATGCTTCCCTCTTGAAATAACTTTCTTAGGACATAGAATCTGCTATATCCCTTAGCTTTCCATGGCTCCCAAGGACCTGTAAGGTTGTTTTGTTTTTTTCCTTCAAAGTTGAGTTTTGCTGCATTTTTTCTTTTAGGTAATGATAAGCATTTTATGGCAAACGTGGCATAACAAATTCTGAATGCAAGGACTAAGGTTGTTTGTCCCTTGAATGCTATAGTACAGTCCTCCCAGGTAAAAAAATAAGGGAGTACATAGGTCAGACCCCTGCTCTGAGTAGGTGCTGTAGGTCCGAGGATATCCTTAGCCAAGCTTGGATTAACTTGACATATATTAAATATCTGGCTGAGAAGACAGAGCTCAAACACCAACATGTTAAGCTAATATGAAAATTCATATTCTGCAACATACTAGATCATTCTTTCTTACACTTCAAACAAGTACCCAATACCAAAAGTAGAAAGTAGTAAAACACTCTGACTTCTGTCCTTAAATGATTGCTTTGGTATAAAGGTATAAAAAAGAGCCCCCAACTAAAAACTCTTCTGGCCATCTCGGAAAAAAAAAAATCCATATACATATATATAAGTTTACATATGGATAACCTTGATTCAGAATCATTATCTCAGGAAATTATTTTTTAGTGTGTTTGAGGCTAGAAAACATAACTCTCCCATTAATTCAAGTTCTATGTGAGAGCTAATCCCCAATTTTTTGATTAAGCACTTGTCATTTTAAATCTTGCACTGAAAATGATTGACAGCAAGAAGCTGAAGCTCCCAGACTTTGCTCTGCCTTCCACAGCTGAGATGGAATCACCTGGATTTTTCTGAGTATTCTAAAGAATTGCTGTGGGGTATAATAGAAAAGGACCAAGGGTAAACTACTGATTTGGAGCTTGCAGGCCACCATGCATCTGAAAGTTTGATGCAGAAACTTGGGGTCCAGAAAGGCAACAAGGAGAGAAGGGTGGGTCAACCATTTGCATCAAGTTGGTGGACAAGAAATGTGAGTGTAGTGAGAGTTACATTTTGTAGAAAAATAATTGAATTGGACCCAGAGTGGAAGAGCAGCCAGCAAGCTGCCATCCTGATCAATTTGTGATGCAAGGTAAGGTAGTATGACACCAGACTGCGAACGTGTTACAGGGAGCTATGCACCAGATTACCTAAGACTCTTAAGCAGTATTTTACCAACACTTCTGTTAGTGAGCATACAAATCTGTAGTCAGGCTTTCCTTCATTTTAGCAGCATGAAAGTACACAAGGAGCAAGGGTTTGCCTTGGTACTGATGGGTCAAGAATCCTGCTGGATGAAAGAAATGGAATTTCAGAAGGGACCAGCGAGATGGTCTGACCAAAGCCTCATTTGATGAGGAAGCTGAGGCCTGATGCTAGCTGATGGTATATCAGGAGCCAAGGTCTTCTGCATATGTCCCATCACACCTGGGGTGTCAGATCTGTGGTCCAGCTGCCTCCCTGGACCAGGGCAGAGTTTTCTCCATCATCCATCAAACAGACTAGGCTCTGATGTATCAAATGGGTTTGGCCTATATGATGAAACAGCTAGCCATCCATGCATAACATCATGCTTACTGCCTCCCATGGACTCGATATCCCCTCAGAGTACTTATTTGCATACTGAAAGACCCAAAGAGGGCATCTGTGGTAGCTTGAGTCCCTTGGCACCATGGAAGGAGCAAGGTATTTGGACTGCTGCTTGAGAACCATTTGAAAATGTCTTCCTTTTCAGTTCCAGTTGTTTAGCGTCTTATTTATTTATTATGGTGTGGCCTTTTTTGAAATCTGGAAAGGAAAAAATATCCCTAAGTTTAGGTGGCTGAGACCCTTTGCTCTGGACCACTGGTATTGGCTGTGCCTCTGGTTCACTGGCTCCAGCAGGTGGCTGGACTGCTGGCCTGTTCCCAGTGATCTACTTTGGGCTTTGGGGTGGGAGTTTGGGTTGATGAGCCCCATCTCTGGCTTGAAGATTTTCTGTGGCTCCATTATATTCTCACGCCTTTGGGGATGTCAGCCAACTCTTCATCACTATGGAGCTGATTTTCTAGTCTGGATCGGACATGTCTTTGGACACTTTTCTTTTCCATTGTGACTTTTGAGTGTTTGCTTCTCAGCATCAGCACTTGCCCCTACATGCAGACGACGGTGTCAGGAGAAGGAACTAGAGTGAAACCCTGGTCATTCATTCAGTCATTCATCCATCAAACGTGTATTTGAACAGCACAGTTGCAGAGGTCGACGATATGTGTTTGAGGAGTTCAAACATCTAGTGGTGAGGACATGGTGCAGCTGATCCATGTACCACATCATGGTAAGCCTGCAATGGTACTAACAGCATGAGCCTGAAGCACAGCAGGAAAAACCATGAAACCGTGGACACTGGGGAATCCTTTACAGAGGGTGTGACAAAAGTCAATTTGACATTTTAAAGCTATGTACAATGCTGTGCACCTTACAATGCTCAATAAAGTAATTGTTGACAATGCATCAACCATTCTGGAAGATATCTAAAGGGGAGAATCCTGATGGCTGTAATGAGGTTTGGGGGGGTTATCTGTGATTTTAATTTTTTTCCTATTTTCTTCTTGATCGACATTAACTCAAGCTGTTTCCACTCCCATCTGGATTTTTTTTTTTTTTTAATTTTGAATCATATGTGAGAAAACAGAGAAGGTTAGATCAGTGAAACAAGCCCTGGAACTTCTTTTCCCTGTTTCTCTGAAAAGCTATCTGGGACATGAAATATTTGAAGCACCCGGGGCTCATTGTTTCACTGACTCTGAATCACATAGCAAGTTATAGAAACACTCTGATTTTTTTATTCATTAGGAAACTCTCCCCAGTGTGAGAAATGACAAGCAGTCTCTGGAGGGAGGTGGTCCTCTCTGTGGCCTTTATTAGGGCACCCAACCTTGGGGTGGAGGTGGCAGGAATTCTTGGCTGCCTTCCCAGTGTGGGCAGGGTCTTATGTGTGATTCTGTGTCTTGTTCAGCATTTCACCTAAACTCATCACACAGTACGAGCTTTTCAAAATGTTACACTATGAGCCATATAGTGTGGACTCCTTGACCTTTATAAATGTGTTCTCAGACAGAATTCTCATTGTCTCTTTCTGTTGTTATTTACTCCCAGATTATGGCTTGATTTCTAATAATTACACTCTAAACCTATTGCTTTTAAGCTTAAATTTCAACAAAGAAAGCACTCATGACCACTTGTCCTCATTGATTGTATGCAGTGAGTAGGAGTTCACAGAGGAGTTCACAGAGAGATGCTCTCAGGAGGGGATCAAGGTCACTCCTGGAGGCCGTGTTGCCTAATGGTTAAGAGCACAGGCTCTGGAGTCCAAATGACTTAGGCTTGAATCCTGGCTTCACTACTCAACAACCATGTGATATTGGGCAAGTTACCACCCAAAGCTTTAGCTTCCTTGTCTATGCAATGGGGCTAATTATTAGTACCTACCTCAGAGAGTTGTTATGAAAATTCAATGAGTTAATGAAGATAAAACATTTATCCCCATGCCTGTCACATGGTGAGTGCCCAGTAAATGTTAATTGTTGTTGATATAGCTATTGGTCATAATATCCATACATCTTGGATGAAATGATGAAGTTGCCTTAGACCTCAGAATGTTTCTAGATCAGAGCTGGAAGGGTTAAACTATGGTCTGGGAGTTGAGGTTATGAATGCAAATGAAGGAATCCAGAGCCTCATCAGTGGTGTCAAGATACCTGAAGAGACAGGTGACAGCTGGACCTAGAGTCTAGAGAAAGGAGATTCTGAGAACAGGAACTCTGCATGTTTTTTAGCACCTATTCTGGAAGGGAGGCATGAGCATTTCTGGTCTGTCTCTGGAGTAGAGAAGCATTTCCCCTCCAGACCCTTCCTTGCTAAGTCCATAGTTTTATAACAGACTCAGCTTCCCAAGAACCCTATTGCTTGGAAGAGAGTTAACTAGACAGACAGCGTGTACACATTAGCGGCTGAAAAGGATGATGACCCTCCCTGTAAATAGTCAATACTATTTATTCTTCAGCCTCTTATGAGTTAAGACATTATGAATTAGTGCCCGAAGACTGACTGATCCTGGAGTATTGATTAGATAGAATTTCTGGGCCCTCATAGTTAATCCTTAGACCTTGCACTAGAATGACCACCCTCCTTCCTCCACCAACTCGCTCTCGCCAGGTACATCCTCCAAGAGGCCCTGCCTGTCAGCCTCAGTGCCATCCTTGGGTGATTTCATCCCATCCAAAGCAGATGCTGACAACATATTCATACTTCGGAGGCTTGAGTAGGATATAAAACTGCATGCTCTCTCTGAAGATGGCGTACCTTTAAAAAATGAGATTATTTTTATAAAGAAGAATCCATACTAATCAAATGAACCAAAAGATAATTTTGATAACTAAGAAATTATAAGAGGTCTACTTATTCTCTCTGTCCTAACTTGGCCCACTTAATGGATCACTCTGGTTCAAACATTAAAATTAGAAGGGTCATGCTGGCAGATGCC